CAAACACCAGATATCAAAATCAACAATAACATCGTAGCAGAATTTGACGACAGTGTAGATGAAATACAGAAGGCCATCAGAAAGATGAAAGACAACAAAACTGCAGGAGTAGATTACATACCAGAAGAATTACTTAAAGTGGACATCGAAGTAGTATGAAAGGTTATATATAATCTGTTCCAAGACATTTGGACAACCAACATGGTACCAACAGAGTGGAAAAATGGACTAATTATAAAACTACTGAAAAAGGGAGATAAATGAGAGTGTAATAACTGGCGTGGAATCACACTTTTACCCACAATAAGTAAAGTGTTTCCCAGAGTGCTTTTAGACAGAGTAAAACAACAAATCGACCCGCAAGCAGGGTTTATACCAGGAAGATCATGTTGCGACCAAATTTTTGTATTACGAAATATCATAGAGCAGTCAATGGAATGGCAGTCTTCTCTATACCTTAACTTTGTAGACTTTGAAAAGGCGTTTGATAGTGTACATCGATCTGGAAAGTTTGTGGAAGCTCGTGAGATTGTATGACCTACCACCAAAGATAATTGACATCATCAGGGTACCGCATGAAGGATTTCAGTGTAGTGTGATGGTCAACAATGCCAAAACAGATTGAGTGGTTTTCAGTAACATCGGGACTGAAACAGGGCTGTATGCTATCGCCTCTGCTCTTCTTAGTGGCCATAGACTGGGTCATGTGGGAATCAGTCAGGTTGGCGGAAGTTGCAGTTGAACTACAGTTACCAGTCATTGTCGCGAAAGACGACTACAAAGTCATGAACTTGAAGCGGCGCACCATACAAAATCTCGCTGAAGAAGAAATAGTTGCCCCTGATATAACGGCCATTATAAGTCGTTTTACGAAAGATCTCAAAGAACTCCCTTGTCTGGAAATATCCGATGTGTTAATTTATTTACTTCGAGGTTCTGGCTGGACAGATAATAGATTAAAAAATTACAGACAAGACAACGGTTACAAACTTTATAAAGATGGACACATTAGTAATGTTCAAATGTACAGAATTCCGAATTCCAATTATAATTACGTTTCTGCAACCTGTATAAGGGAAACAACCTTAAGTGAAAAACCTTATATGACATGGTTACTACAGAAAAAAGATGGCCAAGTATTTTCTGCAGGATGTGCATGTGTTGCGTAAGTTTTTTTTTAATGCATTAACAATTAAGAAATTTCGATTAAACAACACTTTATTCATTTACGCATATTTATTATGCAATGGTTTTCATTAATTTGCTTTTCATATTAATAATTAACTTTAAAGATTTGCAGGGATAATATATTGCTCACCTTTTTCAGAGGGGTGGGTGGGGGTTACTTATAACTATTAAGGGAGACTATTCTGCTACGTGTCCAAATTTAAATAAGATATCTGTAATATTATTGCATACTGCTTTTGCAAATGTATCCTGGTCTTTTTTCATTGTTTTGTTAATTTGTAAAGATGTATTGGCAAATATACACACTTCATTTTAATGCAGATATGATAATTTTTAGGGACGATGGAACGTGTAAACACTGCACAGCTTTACTCTTTTCCTTGGCTGATTTTTGCACCCGCCACATGGACAGGAATACACAAGTAGGAACAGATCGCCCGTGCATTTGGGATGTACCTAGAAAAGTGTCAGTTTCCACAAAAATTGATGACCTTGACGTTACATCTAATAAAAATGATTCTTGCATTGCACCTATCTCTGCAACTTTCCACTCATCTGAAATTCATGATCAATCCTTGCGAAATATAAAATGTCATTTGTATAGATTGTGTAAAGGATCAAATTCCTTATTGTTACATGTGCTCGACCCTCATTCAGATGACAGTGATGAGGAAATGAGGATGAACAGCCACCAGACATGGCAAACCTTATGAGTGAATTTGTAAGAAAGAATGATGAACAAGATTTTCTTACTTTTTTGAAAAGCAAATGTAATTCAGATTCGATTAGAAAAATAGAAATATTAACAAAGGGTCAAGGAAATTGTATTGAATGGTTCAAGTATCGTGAAGGCAGAATCACTGCCTCTGTTGTATTTTCTGTTTATCACTTTAGAGATTCAAACAAAGAAGACAATTATATTGTAAAAAAAATTATTAACTCCAGCTCTGTACCCCTTTCAACTCCTGCAATTAAGTATGGAAAAGAACATGAAATGATTGCTCGACTTTTATACCAGGAAAAATATAAAAAAGAGCACATAAAAGCCCAAGTTGTTGAAAGTGGATTACATGTGTCCAAGCAATATCCTTACATGGGTGCATCACCAGATGGACTTGTGCAATGCAAATGCTGTGGGAATGGACTTCTTGAGATAAAGTGCACATATACACACAAAGATTTATCACCAGAAGAAATAGCTGCAAAGGACAAGAATTATTTTGTTTATATGGACGACGATAACAATGAGCTGAGAACACACACATCTTGGTATTACAAAATTCAGATCCAGCTTGGCGTTTGTGACAGAAAATGGTGTGACTTTGTCTTATACACACAGAAAGTTATATCTGTAGACAGAATTTCTTTTGACATATCTTTATTTCAATTGTTTGTATCCAAATCAAATTTTTTCTTCAATAAATATGTAATTCCTGCTCTTAAAAAAAAAATACAAATGAAAAATTAATACACAGTAACTTGTAGTTTGTTGTATATACATTATTTAACTTATGTTTACTCGTGCAAATTAATAAAAAAGCTTCATCAATGGAAAATTACAACCAACTACCATGAAAATTTGATATCTATGATAAAAAAATTATACTTAAAAAATGGAAGAATTGAAAATATACAACTACATTGCCCATATCCAAATTTGCAAGTGTGCGTCAGAAGACTTGTTATTGAAAAAAAATCATGAATTGAATGCATCAATCATTCTGAAAAAAAATCTGTGAACAAGCTGTCAGACGATGCATTATTTAATTAAGCTCTATAAACAAGTATCTTTAAATGTATACGAATTTGGACATGAACAACAAACTGACTTATTCATTAAAATCCCAAGACCTGGTAATCATTAATGGACAGGCACATACATCTACATTGTTATAAGTATGCAGAACTAGTTTTTAACAAGAGGTTTGTCAATGTTGCATAAAAATGCAGCAACTTTTAACATTTGATTACAAATAGGTTTTAATTTCAATGGAATAATATTTGAAAGTAGTTTGAAACACTTTAGTCTTTGTATTGCTCTCTCTACATGAATTCTTAAATTTGCTATTTTTCTAGTTTTCCTTATTTCATTGGCATTCAAATGTTTTCCTTTACCCCAAAGACACTTGTGAGTAAAAGGAGGAATATTCAGAGTCGCTCTTCTCAAGGTCAAAAGGTCCCCAATGTTAAAGCCACGATCAGCCATAACTTCATCGTATGGCTCTATATTATCCAAAAAAGAACTATTCTCAGTAATATATCTATCGGATACATTTCCAGCCCATAAGTCTGAAATATAGTTAAATGCACCGGAAGGGGTAATGCTCACTAAACATTTGAATGTGTTATGATGTTTGTAAGAGCTGTAGGTTGCTGACTGACAAGTAGGAGTTTTTGGCCTCTGAACAAAAAATTCGGTGCAGTCTATAATAGCACAAGTCCTGGGAAATGATTTCTTGAATGATTTTGGCATGTATTTGATATTTTTTTCTCTAGACTGCCATTTAATAAGTGGACTAAAAACATCATGCATATATGATATCCAGGTGGTAAAAATTTGTGAAACACCAAATAAATCTGCAAGAACAAATCCTACCATTCCAAGTCGTAGTCTGACAAGAGTTAAAATGAATTCCTCGTAGGGACTGAGCTTCCGTTTGGGTCCTGGTTTGTTTCCTTCCTCTTCATATTTCATTTCACCAACAGATTTTTTTCCTGCCCAGTATTTGAGTTTGCATTTGTCTGCTTCTATTGATGAAAACAATCCATACAAAATAGGTTTACTTGGTAATCCTGTGTAATGTTTTACTGATTGATCAGACTTGACGACATTTTCCAAGAAACAGTCTCGTATCAATGTTTCTTTGTCAGCCAGTTTTGCTTTCATCTCTGTGGTCTGCCGCCGCAAGAGTTCAATATCTTCTCCTGTAAGATCCGTTTGTGTGGACATTTCAACAGGTTCAGGTCTATCCAAGCTTTTTTCTTTGGACATGTATGAATGATCAAGATTCACGACACCTGTAATGAAATAAACTGAGTGAATAAAGTGCATTGGATTTTGTTGCATCAATGTTCAAATTAAAACCATTGAAAATAAAATAATTTAATAAGACAGAAATTTACGAGTAATATCACATATTAAGAATTGCTCAGCAGCTCATTGACAAGATTAAATATCAGATAACAAATGTAAAGGTATAACAATATATAAACATAATTAGTATTTTTAAACATTTTAATGGTGGCATATTTCTACCATCAGATTTCTTTAGTTACTTGTCAGATGTTCAAGTTGACTTGTCAGATATTTTCAGTAACTTGTTTAGTACGAACACGGATATTGCGAATTCGCGGATATAGCTAAGTTATAAAATTAAGTTCTTTTATTCAGACAGGAAAGCATGATGAGTACATATTGCTAGATTACATTGTGGTTCTGTAGAAAACATATGTACAGACAGATTTTAAAAAATGAAAGTAGAAAACAGAGTAAAAATAATATTTACATTTTTATTTTATCTTGGGATTCCTAACTACATAATAAATTTAATAAATTCCTTATACAGATATAACAAATTACAGATGTAGAGAAGTAATTTCATAGGTCCCAGTGACTTCATTACAGCCTAGTTTGACTATACATGTATATCAACTTATCTGGTAAATTGGTCGACTTGTCTTGATTATTTCAGCATGACAAAGCCATCTTATATCTACTTGTCATCATAATATATGACAAAATGTCATTATTTTCCAACAAATAAATATATTTACTAACAAGTTGACATCATCATCTAACAAGTTGACATAACTTTCTGCCAAGTCGGCTTGTCAGATGTTATGACAACTTGTCAGATAAAGATGTTAACTTGTAGAAAATTATGTCTACTTGTCAGATCTTTATGTTGACTTGTCAGATCTTTATGTTGACTTGTCAGATCTTTATGCTGACTTGTCTAATACTTAAGTCATCTTTCCAGAGAAATATGATGTCAACTGCTGACCGAAACTGGGCATGGTCATATTTTCATGTTTATTTTTTTTAATACAGAAAAAAGATCTGACAAGTCAACATAAATAACTGACAAGATGGGGGACAGAAATAAGCCACCATATACGGTATTATATTAAATCAAGCTTTGTTATAAACAAATCAATATTACAAAATTTTATAAATGTAGCCGTACTGGACTTAGCTGCTATTCCTGGCAACTTTCTGGATTGAACTTGAGGAGCTGTTTCACCTTTGACAATAACAAATATACAAAAAATCAATACCATAAACCTGTAGTAACATGTGTATTTTGATTTATAAATTTTACATGAAAATTATTTTTAACATAACTCCATGTAAGAGATTTTCTGCATGGGTATCAAAATATCCAAAACATTATATTTTAATTTTACCTTCAAGAACTGCAGTTACAACAACTTCTGCTGCAACTGGTGGTGCATTAAAGAGTTCAAGCCCAAGTGTTTTATTATCTTGAAATTTATCAGGTTGAACAGAGGTGAAGTTGCTTCTTTTTTCAACAGCATTCTGTGGTCTCTCCTTCAATGGGCGCATGAAATTATTTCTTGGAAACAATGTTGGGACTGGATTACACTCGGTAGGTCTTCCGTCAACAAAATGATTGGAGCACACCCGATGATGTCGTTTTGGTTCAAAATTCTCTCTATTAATCTGAATAAAATCTTTGTTTTAATAGCTCATCATCATGGAGAAAATTCGGATTGACCATGTTGACTGTTTCTCATGTCTACATCAACGAACATCTAGATTATTGACAATATATGTTTGCTAAGTTTTATTAAAAAACTGTTTGGAAGTTTTTATGCTTCAAAAATCGAGTATCCTAGCTTGCTTTCGCAAAAACAATACATACCTGAGAGATCCACCTCTTTCTAATTGTGTTGTTCTTTAGACGGGTCGGAAACGGGAAAAAATCTACATCTACATCTACATTATACAGCGTTCCATCAAACATGATGATTATACGCTGGCCCTGCGCAAACGGACCTCTAAAATTAAATCAAAAAGTAGGAGAGAAAAAAAAAATTTACAAATAAAATTTAAAAACTAATGCCATGAAAAATTTAAATTAAATAAGTGCTTTAGGAAACAATTTACATTGTGCATAAAAAAGTGTATATCTATATATATTTACAATGTACTCTAGCTGATTTGTTCTGAATATAAGAGTTATGGAACATAACTTGGGACCAGAGTTCTGAACTGGTCCAGAGAGGCCGCTGCTACCACTGAGTGTGGGAGAGTATTCCAAAGAATCACTGTGTGGGGAAAGAAACTAAATTTATAATAGTCAGTTCGTGTACTGAAGGTCTGAAAGTGAAGAGAACTGGTATTACGTGTGATGGTCGTTGTCTGAGGTACAAGATAAAGGCTTTGATCTATAGCTACTAATTTGTGTGTAATTTTATACAACATTATCAATCTGCATATTTTTCTTCTATGATCTAATGTTGGCCAATTTAGATGGTGTAACATGTTTGAAACACTACTTGTATTATGGTATCTATGTGTGACGTAGCGTGCAGCTCGTCTTTGTACATTTTCTAATTTGTCTTTAAGTTTTTTTGTATGTGGTGCCCAGACTGAAGAACAATATTCAAGGTTGGACCTGACCATTGATTTATATGCCAAAGATTTTGTTTCTTCATTTTTTATCTGCAAATTTCTTTTTAGAAAACCCAATATCTTGTTTGCCTTAGAAGTTATATTATTGATATGAGGTTCCCAGGACATGTTGTAGGATAATGTTACCCCTAAATATTTTGCTGTCTTTATAGATTCTAATGTGTGTCCTTTTAAATTATAGTTATATTTTACTGGTGTGCGAGATCTGGTGATACTGAGTGAATTGCATTTTTGAGGATGAAATTGCATTCCCCAGACATGTTCCCAATTAGCTAAGGAGTCAAGATCTTTTTGGAGGATTTCACAGTCATTTTGATTATGAATGGGTCGATAAAGGATGCAGTCATCGGCAAAGAGCCTTGTATTAGATGTGACAGATGATGGTAGGTCATTTATAAAAATTAAAAATAGAAGGGGCCCAAGGACTGACCCTTGAGGAACCCCGCTGACCACAGGCATTGGACTAGATACCTCACCATCAAGGACAACCTGTTGAACTCTGTTGCTGAGAAAAGCAGAGACCCATCTCCAGGTGTTACCGCGTATCCCATAATTATCCAACTTACTCAGCAACTTCTGGTGAGGTACCTTATCAAACGCCTTTGAAAAGTCCAATATTATCAGATCAGTTTGAATGTTTGAATGTAAATTTTCCAATAATTCATGGCTAAGAGTAAGTAGCTGAGTTTCACAACTTCTCTTAGCCCTAAATCCATGTTGGCAATCAACTCCTTCCATAGCTGGATACTTTTCCAGGTTCCGCTTTTTACGTCCGTCTGACGTACAGCCTGGTACGACACACCAGTACTTTGAAATCTTTTGTGTATCCATTACAATATTATAGAGAAAATGCGAGCTGAAATGCCTAACAAATCAGCATCGTCACGTGACTGCCGTGCGAAAAATAAAAACCAAAACGGTATAACAGAACATCCCGGAAATCGGCTATTGACTTCTACAAGACACCAGCCCCTACATGTAACACAAAAAGATACATCTTCGTTGAAACAGAATGTTGCACTTTAAACCATGGATTAACGAAGAGAAAATCAGTATATTTTTGGCGGGATGGTTGCATGGGGGGGGGGGGGGGGTTCCACAAGTACCGGTGGGATCGAGTAAGTGGTTTACTAGTATGTTATTTAGCATGCTATTTAGAATATTCATGTTCTTATAAGTTATAACTAATAAAAATACTAGACATTTTGAAATCTTAACTTTGGCTGAAAAAGAAAATGACCCCATGCAAAAGGTGAATTGATGTTTTTAATGAAATGAGTCCTATAAACATTAACCCCTTCACTTCCGTACCGGTCAAATTGACCGATGGCGCGTTAAAACACGACTTCGCGAAAATAAGACCGCCGTATCTATTTTGTTGTAGCATGAGGGTATAAAAGCTATATATCATCTTTTTGGAAATTTTCTCTACTTTTAAAATATCTAAAAAGATTATATCTTGATTGCCGGTATTTAATCGATCTTACGTTGTAAAGACAAACGAGACTTTTTGAAAATGGCGTGATTTTCCAAAGCAATTGCCGATTTTCCACACGATTGACAATTTTTTTCCTGATTAACTTTATAAGAAAGCATGGTATATTCTTAAAGCATATTTTCTCTACTTTTAAAATATGTAAAAATTATTGTTATTCCTTTAAGGTATATTTTAAAAACAAGAATTTTCTTGCACTTATGTGTTTTTTCTCGATTTTATTCGTAATGTTTAAACAAAGCTCAGTTTTACGTTTATTTCTGTGTTGAAATAGGGAAAACAAAATAAAGCTGGAAAAAGTAGAGAAAATTTCCTTTCCAACAAGCCCTTATAGGCCTTCTCACGCTCAGTATTTTCTGAATTACGATAATTTGAATTTGTGACCTTCGCATAGTTTTTATGGAAAAATCGGTCAATATTTACATGTAACGTCAAGGTTGATATTGTTGCATCTTACTCGAAACAACAAATTCTTTTATATAAGACTTTTTTGACCATTTAAATACATTTTTACTGAAATAAATGCATAATACAAAAAAAAAAATAGATTTCAAAAAACAAATTATACTTTCGTTCTGCCTTTTGTGTTCAGTGAATGTTGATTTATTCATCTACATGTAGGCCCTAATGATGAATTTTTCATGAAGTGATATATACAATATTGATAAAAATTGTAGATTTCCAAAACGTCGATCTTTACTAAAAAAAATCAGTCAGATTTTTAATATTGTTGTATTAATGTTGTATCTTGTTATACTGTATACTTATTAATTTGCAATTTAATTAGATCTATATTTAACAATACAAAAACTCGTATTTATAAATAAATACGACTCATCACTGTATGAGTTGATAAGAATTGAAATAAACACGTGTTTTCGCTGTGATACCTGTAAACAAAAACATGATCCGAAATCTGAACGTCAATTTTCATGATTATTTCACAACCGTGACGAAGATCTTCACATCAATGAATCAAATAATACGGACATGCCTTCGGTATTAGCAGGTGAGAATACGTGTATATTGACTGAAAAGTTTAAGTTTAAAACGCATTAGTTCACGTTCAAAGGAAAACTTAATGAATGTACACATGTACTAGAAGTTTATGTTTCAGTGTGCGTGTTTCGTATCGTTCAGCCAATTTTGCATTGTTTTTGAACTTTGATGCTTTTGACAATCACTCGTAAGTCCAAAGTAAAATCAAAGTTGTCATAATAATAGATACAGTGAGGTTGCCGATATCGAATCACTTAGTAAATTTGCTTGGATATTTCGTACCTGAGTTTGAGTTAAATTCATTTTACAACATTGTTTGGTGGTACTATGTTTTACTTATAACATCATATATATTTTCCCAATAACCGCTGATTAAATGAAAAATTATCGCTATACTTGTATGAATGATGTTTTCTCCTTTAGCGGATCATTTTCTCCATTACCGAATCACGTGACATATAGCTGATTATTCTGGTTCGGGACCGTGTAAATTTAAAAATACCCTTCTTACGTAACGTTTTACTATGCATTAAAATATTTCACACACCCCCCCCCCAAAAAAAGTAGAAAAGCTAGGAATTTTTTGAGTTGTTTGCATTCGACAATTAATGCAAAAACAACAACAATGAAATCATAGGGAAAGCAAATGACTAGTTGATATAAGAGGACGTAAAAACTTATATGTGATGAACTGCAAACAGCCGAAGAATTAATTTTTGATTCAAGAATTGTACTCATTGAGCTACCACGCCCCTCCCCATAATTTTGCCGCTATTTAGATAGAAAATATATCGCTAGATATATGATTGTGCCCCCTAAAAAAAAACGTCCGATGACCTTTTTTATGCTTGATTAATTAATTGTCAAGGAATTTTGGTGGTTGATAGTGCCTCCTCAACTGAAAATGTATGGCTCTGCACCCCTCCCCCACCAACTGAAATTGCTTCCTACGAGCCTGGCTTCAGAGATACCTAAAGCTGAAAGGAACAATTATATTTTCAAAATGTCGAGACCCAACACCTAAATTTCCTCCAATGAGCAGAGACAACTTTACAAATGATGATGTTGGGATTCATTTACTGGATTTCTCCATTCCAACATCCACAGTAGACTAAATACATGTACCAGTATTCTAATTTATTAAATACTGGAGGTTGTCCTTTCACTTTATATTGTCTACTTCAACTGTCCATCGTCTCTATAGAAATGAATAAGACAGCTCATTCTTCTCTGCTGCTTTCATAGTGCTCTTTCTTCCTTTTGCGTGAAGACAGTGGCTTATATTCCATATAGGCAAAAGCCTGCAGTCTGCATATAATTTTCTCAATGTGTAATTTAAATCAAATGTTTACTAACTAGTATATTTTGAAAAAGAGTTGGGGGGGGGGGGGGAGTTAGTATAGATAAGATAAGATAGATAAGATATGTTTTATTACTAATTCAGTGCCCAAATGAGCATAAAGAGTACAAACTTACAAGAGAAAGGCCTAAAATATAGTTGACAGAAAAAGGAAAAAAAACAAAAAAAAAAGCAAAACATTTAGACATACATGAACCTATATAAACATGTACATAAAATAGACATATGACTCTTCAATGTATATATATACATATGTATCATATTGTGGTATGGGGCATCAGTATTTAGGCCTAATGGCAATTAATTAATGTACATGCATTTTTGAACTTAATGTTTATAAGACAGATTGAAAAAGAGGGGGGGGGGTATCATAAAACTCTGTTTATAATTTATTTAGCTTGATGTTGAATTGAAAAAGTATTGTTAGCAATATGCATTTTATATTATACGAGCTTGATCTTGATCATGACAAGAAATAATTATTGATTATTTGAAATAATTTTTTAGGGAAAAGGATAACTGCAAACGGGGTATTGTTGGAAATAATGATTTAGTAGGGAAGTTTAAATTGCAAAGGGATAAATAAATAAAATGTCTAAATCTTAATTTTGTTTGGTAATCATGACGATTTTTATTTCGCTATGGTCGATGTCTTCACATTAGCTTACTGCATGCACATGTACCACCGGGATACATTCTCGAATCCACATGCTCTGCACTTCTTACTGATTTTGGCTGCTGACTTTTTTATGTGTATTTTAACCACCTTTATTGTACGCTTTTGGTAGACATCTTCTGTTGTTTTTTTTATTGTAACTGATGTGCAAAAAACCGCATACGAAAAATGATAATTTGGACAAGATCCCTGCATCTCATATTTCTTGAAACAGCGATTCGTTATTGGAAACCTAAATGCCCCCAACTTTAAAGGGAATACTATTAATTTCTGATTTAGAAATTGTGTGACGCTTTCAGTGCTTTTAGACACATAATTTTATTAAACATCTGCACCAAATTTGTTTACCTAGAATGCGACATTGGAGCAGTACCGAAAAGTGAAAGTAGTCTGCTTGCATCTACGCTTCTGGTCTGCGTCACAAAAAAGTTTGTTGATGTTTATTTAAAAATTATTACATTGAACGAGTTGAATTTAATAATTTCTTGATAAATGACAAAAGCAAGAATAATTCAGCATGACAGGGTAGGTTAAGCTAAGTATTGGACTTTGATAAGAAAAATACAGAATTTTCATCTAAAAGTGATTCGTTAATGGGTGCGATTCGTTATTGGCAACCTCACTGTAGTTGTTTTCAGTATGTGTGTACCAGTGTGTGTACATGTACAACTTTCACATTGAATTTTTAGGGTGCTTTCACCATATGCAACAATACTTTCATCTGTGAATACCCACTTTCTAAGCCCACCATGAACTACGAAGGTCAATTAATATGTAAGGACACCAATGAACAGGTAAATTTTTGTTTTGGTATTGAAAATTTCTGTATTTCTAAAATTTCAAAAAATAAAGTCTAGCTCATGATATCGCATTTATACAAGTTTATAAACATTTGATTTATATTTTGAAAAATAAGTGTTTTAAACACATAATATTTATGAAGCTTGATTATTCATACAGACACATTATTTAAACATGTAATATCTATCTGAATGAATGCAGAGATATGGAACAAGCTGTTTTTTTTAGACTGCTGTTGTATTTCCAATGTGCTTAAAATATGTGGTAAGCATTTCCATTTTCTCAATTTTTCAGACACTTTCCAGTTATGGTACATCATATACATGGGTGGTCAAACTCACTGGATGGTTTATCAACACTGAGGCTCCCATGCTCATGAACAGCCTTGCCCCAGGAATTTTGCCTTGAAGTAACATTGCAGTCTATTGTCTCCTTTCTTTTTACAACCCTGGCAGCCATGCAGGTATGAAATCTATGAAAGCCATGAAGGGACATAGAAT